CCAAAATTCTGTCAGATTTTTCTATTTTGAAGTGCAGACTTCATTTGTATGTTTGTGGTTGCTGTGCCTTCTTAATGAATTGACTTTTACCATTAAGAGATGTCCTTGTGTGTTTCCAGTAATACTTGAAGCCTCGTTTACTTATATTAATATAATCACTCCTTCTTCTAGTTTTGGGGTTTTTTTTGTGCATGGTATCTCATTTTCCATCCTTTCACTTTTTCTATTCCTTTTTACTAGTTAGTATATATCTCTACCATGAGTATTTGGTTAAGATTTGTGTGTGCTTGTGTGCTGTTCTGACAATTTCTGGCTTTTATTAATTTTTCCTGTTTACATTTAGTGCAATTATTTACATGCTTGCATTTTAGTCCACCCTCTTGCCACCTTATTTATCCTATCTGCTACTTTTACCTTCATTTTTGCCTTCTGAGTTGAGTTTTTATTGTTGCTTTTTTTCTATTCCATTTCATCATCTCCTTGGAATTTTTGCTTTTACATATTTGTTTTATTGTTTTAGTTTATGGCTATGTGTATTTTTAACTCGTTGCTGTATTTCATGAATTAACACTCAATATCTTGATGTATGTTGTAAACATTTTACAATACTCTAGGCCCTTTTGTCTTTTGCATATTGTTGCCATATGTTTTACTACTTTGTATACTGTAAGTTTATAGTGTTATCATCCTCTTCATGAAATTGTCAATTTATTTATTTATTTTTTAAAATTTTCATTTGTATGTATTGTCAAATCAGATCTGACTGGTACAGGAGATTGCCCCTCCTTCTCCAGCAGAGCATCTGGTGGATTCAAACCGCATACCTCTGGGATTGCAGTACAGCTTCTTGCCACTAGGCCACCAGAGCTCCCTTGTCAATTATTTTTTTAAAGAAATAAATTTAGAAAACAATAATTATTTGACAACCACTTAATGAACACATTTGTGTTTTCTGTATCTGTATATTTACTGTGTTGTGCTCTTAATTCCTCATTGAGTTTCTGGCTTCCATGTAGCTTTGTTTCCCTTTGGTTTGAATTACTTACATTTGGATTGGGGTTTTAATCTTTGTTTTCATATCTCTTATAAAATTCTCTAACTGCTCACTTCTTGTGACCATCTTTAAATTTTAGGTTCTCTATTGTATTTAACATGGCTGCTTTAAAGTCTTTGTCTGCTAATATTTATATCTGAGTCATTTTTGCGATCTGTTTCTGTTGACCAAAGTCCCTGACTGGTACAGTTATGTTTGGCTGCTAACTGAAATATTGGCAGTGTGAGTCCACCTAGAGACACCTCCAAAGAAAAGCCTAGTGATCTGCTTCAAAAATTAGCCTGTAAGGGGAGCTCTGGTGGCCTAGTGGTAAGGAGCTGCAACTACAATCCCAGAGGCGCATGGTTCGAATCCACCAGATGCTCTGCCGGGGAAGGAGGGACAATCTCCTCCTGTACCAATCAGACCTGATTTGACGGTACACTCACACAAAAATAATAAAATAAAATAAAATAAAAAATTAGCCTGTAAACCCCTATTGATGCTAATGGTTCAGACCCATTGTTCCTGGGCTTATATGATGTCACCTAATAACGACATACCAGTGGAGACCTCGAGTGGTGCACATATTCAGCACACTCAGCTGCTGTCTAAAAGATTGGCAATTCAATCTTCCCAGAGTCTACCTTGGGAGAAAAGGCATTGCTTTCCCAAACCCAGCCCTTTGAAAACCTTATGGAATAGAGTTCTGCAGTGATACACATTAGGGGCTGATGGATCAGCATCAAGTCAGTGGCAGTGTTCTTATTTTTTTTTCGTGATAAATAGGGCATTTGTGATTAGGATTTATGGCTCCAACCCAGAGGAAAGTGGTTTGAATCCACCAGTTCCTCTATGGGAGAAAGATGTGCACTCTCTTTCTGTGTGGTTAACTGCCTCTGAAAACCTACTGGAGGGTCAGCTGTGGATTGTTTCCAACTCCACGTACACAACAGCAACAACCCTTGTGGAGTACACCTTCTAGGAGGTAGAAATTAGTCTATAAATAGGATTAGAAAATATGCATATGTTGTTGTCATGTGTCGTCAAATGACTACAGCTTGTAGCAACTCTATGAACCACTGCTCTGAACTCTGCCCTATTATATGCCATTCTTTTTTAAAAGATTTTTTTAAATTTTATTATTTTTTGAGTGTGTACCATCAAATCGTTTCTGACTGGTACAGGAGGAGATTGTCCCTCCTTCTCCAGCAGAGCATCTGGTGGATTCAAACTGCATACCTCTGGAATTACAGTGCAGCTTCTTGCCACTAGGCCACTAGAGCTCCCTTATTCTATGTCATTCTTATAAACTCTGACACACTTGAGCACATTATTAAAATCACTGTGTTAATCCATCTTGTTGAGTGTCTTCTTCTCTTTCTCTGACCTTCCTCCTTTTCCAAATTGATGTCTTTTTCTAAGGACCAGCCCTTCCTTACCACATGCTCGAAGTATGTGATGTGTAGTTTTGCTGTCCTTGCCTTCAAGGAGCATCCTCGTTTGACTTTCTCTAGGACAGACCTATTTGTTCTCTTGCCAGCTCATGGAATATTTATTCAGTACTCTTCTGCAGCACAACTCAAAGGCATTGATTCTTTTTCTGTCATGTATAGTCATTGTTCAACTTTCAGATGCATAGCAAGTAACTGAAAACACTATGGCTTGGATCAGATGCACCTTAGTCTTTATAATGACATCATTTATCTTTGCTACTTTAGAGAGGTCTGACATTTTCTGAATGCAGCTCATCTTGTAATTGTCTTAACTGCTGGTATATACTTATAATACAGGCAAAATGGTGAGTTTAGAAGGGAAGAGTGAGGAGAATAAAGGAGTCCAGAGTTTGGAAGAGTTTTCAAACTGTAGGGTGATTGATGAAATTGAAAGGCTTAGAGGCCAATGATCTCTTTAATATAGCCAAATATAGATGGTCTAGTTTTGTGATATTCCAAATTGCACTCAACTAATCATAGTTAACTATACAATAACTGCAGCAATTTAGAGAATTATAAACCTTTTTAACAATTTAACATTTTCACCTTATCTTTTACATATTAAACAAATACTGGGAGGGAGTTTTTTGTGAACTGAAAATTTGAAAAAAGCAAACAGAACTAGTGGTTCTTCACTACTTAAAGAATTAGAATCTAGGCTGTCTTGTGCCTCTGTATTATAGCAGTTGAAAGACTTGGGGGAGAAACATGTATGTTTTGCACAATATATAACTGCTAACAAAGACATATATTTGTTTCTCTAATTTTACAAAGTGAGAAGTGTTTTCTTAATGTCACCCTTGCCTTGTTTCTTTGATATCGGACATATTTATACCTGAATTTGTATGTCCCCCCTTTTTTTAATAGATAAAGCTATTTGAATGTCTATAACTCTTTGAAGGTGCATCCTTTAAAGTGAAAGGGAGTAAAAGTCATTTAATTATATGAAATTCAGGACATGTGCACCTGTTAGCTTAATCCTTTGTAGTTTCAGTTTTCATAGTTGGAGTTTTCAGCAAGTAGATCGTTATTAGAGTTGTACCCTGTCCCTTTGGACTATGTACTAACTGAATGTGCAAGTGAAGTTTTGAAAACTTTCTAGGCTAAACCAAAACTTAACTTATTATCCCACCATCCGTATTTTAACCCACCTACCAGTTTCTAGGGACTTTATACAAGTGTCCTGAGCATTTTTTGGTGTAGTTTCTCCAACAAGAAAAGGTAGTGATAACTTAAACCTTTCTAAGTGAGTAAAGATTTAAAAATTCTTAGATGACACTACTATAAAAATAAGAATATTATTTCATAGTGATTGTATGCCATTTTATGACATTCAGTACACAGTGAATAATGGATCTGAGAAGCTGCTTTCCGGAATAGTGCATTTGTTTATGAAACTAAAGTAGTAGATGATATCTGGCTGCTTAGAAACAGAGGGCAAAGGTTTCTGTTAAAGAGTATTGGGGTTTGGTTTGGTTTTGTTGGCAAGCCTTTGCTACACAACAGTACCTTTAACGTTAAAAGTCATTTAGGCCTATAGACCTAAAGTTCTAGGGGGACTTTAGATAGGGACTTAGTCTGCTATTTGAAACAATGTGTTCATTATTGAAAGTAACACAATCTAGACTTTTTCTTTCAATAACCAAATGTTTTATTCAAGTCATTTCAATATATATATTTTTTTAACGTGTAAAAAGATGAGTAGATTGCAACACAATTGGAAATACAGAGATGTCTTAATTCTGGAGACTTGCTGAGACATAGATAAACAGAAGTTCATTAATGAAATTAATAAACAGAAATCAGACATACCTTGGTTAAATATGGTCTTTGCTGTGTATTGATGTAGCACTAAAAATGACATTATTTATAATTGGAGAGAAATATATCTGTTTGATGGAGTTGTTGCCATGATTAAGGTTTATGGATAATATACATAAATGTCTCAAGACCACTGTAAGCACACAGTATAGGATATTATAAAATAACAATAGTGGGTAAATGTGTGTGTATAGCATAAATATGAATGAAGTTGTTTTCTTAGATTTTATGGTAAACCTTAATATGAGGGATGTGAGTGAGAGTAAAGCAAAGTTTAAGAGACCAAAGATTGGATAGAAGAGTCAGTTAAAGGAAAAAGTCTTTTCTAATTAGCACTCAGGGCCCTCAACAATGTTCCCCAGCTGTTCCCAAAGCATTTGTGTGACCCCTAGAGCTATATAGAATACAAGGCCAAAATATTCTGCTGGATTTGAAGCACTTTGAATGCAAGAGCCAACACTTTCTAAGTGATACAGATTGGCTCATGGTCCTGTGGGGCTAAATGATTCTTTTAACTGAGCTCAATTACTTCAGAATCTCTTTTCTTAGTATGCAACTAAATGGAATTAGAATTTGCAAGTGAGTTAGCAAACCTGCACACAAGTGCATGTCATTTAAAGGATGTAACGATAACATCATTATTTTTTCAGATCTAGGCTGGAGTTTGCCATTCAAATAAAAGAAAATGATGAGTGATGCAAGTGACATGTTGGCTGCGGCGTTGGAACAGATGGATGGGATTATAGCAGGTAATCCACATCTTCCAGAAGCAGACTCATGACGCGTACCTCAGCTCTCTTGACTTTTTCATTACATCTCTTAGTATCTTCCATCTTTTTTTCTTTTTGTGTTTTGGCTCTCTCTAAGGCCTTTATGTCTTGATGGCTACATCTTCTCTCCATTCTATACTGGAATTACTCCCAGGATTTAGTTTAAAATGCCAAAATTTCCTCCTAGCTTCTGACCATTTATTTTAAAAAACCCACATCTCAGAGATTCTGTTACTGATGCTTCGTGGGCTGCACTTTGAGGGATACTTCTCTACCTAGTACCTGTTGATACTCTGATCTGCTCTTTGAAATTCACCATTCATTTTTTTCACCAATGTTCCTTACTTTTCTTTCACTTTCCTAATTTTTTGCTAATCTTCAAAATTCTTTGCCCTCTTTATCCTACTAACCAAATATCTCTCCTGAAATCATTAATATTACTTAAAACATTGAAGTTGTTCATTATCTTTCCTTGGAAACCTCTCTTTTGGTTTTTCTTTAAGACAGTTTCATAATCCTCCATCTACACAGTTTTCTGAATGAAAATGCAGGTCATTCTAGATACTTTGGTCCCTCATACCCCTACTTAATTAATCAAGTTCTAACAGTTCTACCTCAGCCCACATTTCTACCTTTCCCTTTCATCCTCTCTACAGTCTGTACACTACTGTACTGCCATTGTCTCCATTTTTCTAAGACACCTACCCATTTGGTGTGCTGGCATTCTAACTTTTTCAAGCTGGTCCATCCTTAGACACCAGGCTTTCCTTTATAAAACAGAGCTGCTCATTTTAGTCCCTGTTAAACGGTCTTCAGCAGTTTTCTGTTGTGAAAGCATGGCGAAGGTAGCAAACTTCCTTATTCATCATGGCTGAGGAGACCTTTGGGAAGCTTGCATTTCCCTGGAACCTCCCAGTGACTTCTGCTGAGGAAGGTAGCAGAATCTCCTCAATTTTATTAAGTCCTAGAATCGGACTTCAATTGGACCGCCTTTGCATGCTGAATCACACTTCAAGACTGTATTTCATGTTAGAAATGTTTTCCCAGAGGGTTATTGGCAAGCCAACACTTCTAAAGGACATGAACATGATAGTGAAGACCAGCTGTAGGTCAGTACTGACTGGACAGTACACAACAACAACAAAGATCATTTGAAGAGACTGGTTATATTTAACCTATTGTATTCTTAGTTGGGGCATGATCTATTTTTCAGACAGTTGAAGGGCTATTATGTGGAAGTAAGATTGCACTGACTCTTGCAGGATATTTGAAAATATAACAGTACACCCTTATAGGCTCTTGCCAGAGCTTATAACTATATATTTTTAACAAATTTCTGGTTGAGAGAAGTGATATTTCTGAAGCATTGTTTGAAGCATTTAAGTTTTGTGTATTCCAAAAGAAAGGAAGCATGGGGCATGGTGGTTAAAACATTCAGTTCTCAGCTAGAGTCCGTGGTTCAAACCCTCCAGCGACTCTATGGGAGACAGACACTGTCGTCTACTCCCGTAAAAGTTTATAGCCTTGGAGAGCCCTTGGGCAGTTCTGCTGTGCCCTGTAGAATGGCTGTCAGAATTGATTAAACAACAGATGTTTTGGACTTAGGACCACCTTCATAACTACTAAGGAAATTAAGATCACTCCAGACTTAATACACCAGCAGCTTTGTAGGTAACACCTGTGTTTGAATGTTTGCACGTTAACATCAGTAATTCTCTAACTGAAGTTGTAACATAGAAAGAGAAATTATTATAAAAATTGGAGACTTTTTCTAAATATGTATCTTCCCCTGTGGCCCCACCGTGCATTTATAGAAATTTCATCAGTGATCCTAAAAACTACTGCGTTATGGTCTCTCTGCTGGTTTTTTTTTTTTTTTAAATGTTATTATTTTTATGTGAGTGTACTGTCAAATCAGATCTGACTGGTACAGGAGGAGATTGGATTCGAACCGTGAGCCTCTGGGATTGTAGTTGCAGCTCCTTGCCACTAGGCCACCAGAGCTCCCCTTTCTCTCTGGTTTTTAAGGCTCTTCGATTTCCCCTTCTCTTGACATACTTTCCTCAATTGATATCTTTCTGGATTCTAATCTCCACCTCACTGGATAGTTGAGGTGACTGATTTACAGAGGATTGTGTGATGCTTAAAGCTGTCTAAGGTTGCCATTATTGATTTGACAGACTCAGGTCCAGATCTTGGGATCCATTATTAGAAAGGACAGTGGAGTGCTTGCTTTAGCAGCACATATACTAAAAATTGGAACAATACAGAGAAGATCAGCAAGAAGTGTTCCATAGAAGGAAAAAAAAAGAAAGAAAGGACAGTGGAATGTCCTCCCTAAAAGATCATTTCTCTTTCTCATTGTTGGAATTGATCAGACCAGGTAGTTCAAATGTAAGACTTTGTTTTTCTTGACTCAAACTTATGAGGTGACAGCCTAATTATCATAATTATTGATAATATTTTAGTATCATGTAATTTGAGTAGCCCGCTGGTGGTGTAGTGGCAAGAAGCTTCACTCTATCCTGGAGACATGTGGTTCAAATCCACCAGCTGCTCCGTGGGAGAAGGATGGGAAATCTCTTCCTGTGCAATCAGCTGCCTCTGAAAACTCATTGGAGGGTCAGCTATGGTTTGGTTCTGACTCGATGGTACACAACAACACCACTTACGGTATTTTCCACACATGGGAGAAAATAAAAGAGGTGAAGAACTGTATATTAATCTTTTTCTATTTTTACTTCTTTTTTAAAATTTATTTTAATGAACATTTACAGAGATTTTGGATTTCCATTCATTCATTGCTGTACTCCCTGCCCACCCCTCCCCTCCAGTTCGCTCCTCTCTTTGAAAAGAAAAAAGAAAAAAATTCCTTCATTGTTATACAATCCACCCATTCCTCTCCCCCTGCCCCAAGTACACTTCACTATGCAACCTTAATTCTGGAGTCCTGTGATAACCATAATACCCAATCATATATCGCCTTTAATCTGTTCTTTCCCTCATCTGTTTCAATACAGTATACATAGTTTATCCAGTTTTTTCTCAGTCTTACCCCAACCCTGATGTCAGTCCCATTCTACAACAGTGGCACCATGCAGTATTTGTCCCTTTATGTGAATCTTTTTAGAAATGGCCATGGATTTGCACAGTTAAGTAGGAAGATGGTTTCATTGTAAGTAACACAAAGCTAACCATTGTAAATACTTAACTATAAAATTAACTTTCACTTTTTTTCAAAGTTAGTATTAGCAAATATCCTTTGATGTTTAGAATGCAAGCAAAATATTTATACACACATACTCACACACCAATCTCTGCAGTCTGTAATTGACCAAAAATGCATTCAAGATACACTAATACTAATTGGTCATGGGAATGCAAAAGGTAGGAAAAGCAAGAAGAAGGACTGGTAGTTGGAAATTATAGAGTTAGTGACCTAAATGAGTCTGGAGGTTAAATGAGTGAGTTTTGTACAATTTTGCACACTCCAAGTACTTGATGCAGCTATGTACATGTAATTCACTGGACTGTGGAGATTTAATTCTTATAAATTAACTGAGAACTGGCCTTTTGACCTTTGAAATTATGCTGTGCAATTTCCACCTTAATGTCTAAATTTTTAAACATAATTTAAAGACACTCTGGTCCCTAAAACTTGTATTTTCTGGAATGCTTCAGTCCACACAAACTGACCTGCCTCCTTTTTCTCAGGCATTTACATGAAGGGGTCAGAATCTACCAAATTCCCCGCCCCCCTTACTTCCTATATGATACAGAGAGCTTTGGTGATCTAGTGGGTAAGGAGTTTTGAAGCCAAGCCAAAGGTAGGTGGTTCAAACCCACCAACTGCTTGATGGGAGCAAGATGGACATTCTCCTCCTATGTGATTTACAGGCTCTGAATACCTGCTGGAGGGCTAACTCAACACCTGCTGGTTCCAATGTTATGGCCATGAGAGAGAGTATACCATAAAGTTAGCCTCTGTTTAGTTATTCTACTATTGATTACAGTCTGTTTCCATTATTCCTGTGTATGGTTCTGTTCTGTAAATCCCAGTGAGTATTGAACTAGTGAATGCTAAACTAGTCTTGTGCATTGAGTTACTTAATTATTTTTGCTGCTGTGCACATGCACATGTCGGTGAATGACCATAGACATTATGAGTATTGATTTTGAGACTACAAGTACATTTAGCATGTAGGCCACCTGGCAAATAGGAACTGTATCTGATATGTATGCTTTACCTTGTAATTGTGGTGTGGAAAGGATTTTGTAATTGGATGACTGTCTACATCCACCTACTCCGCATCTCTCTTTATATTTGATTGTTCTTCATCGCACCTAAGCTTATTTACCAGCTTCAGCTTTGGTACTTTCTCTAATACAAATGCCTTCCTTGTGGCACTTTTAACCTAGGTTCGAAGGCCCTGGAATATTCCAATGGGATTTTTGATTGCCAGTCTCCCACCTCCCCATTCATGGGAAGCTTGCGAGCACTGCACTTGGTGGAAGATCTGCGTGGGTTGCTGGAGATGATGGAGACTGATGAGAAAGAAGGCTTGAGATGCCAGATCCCTGATTCAACAGCAGAAACACTGATTGAATGGCTTCAGAATCAAATGGTAGGTGTCTCTACATGGTAAAAATCCTGTACTATGTTTCTTCTGTTACTTGCTTCAAATTTAGGTGGTAGAATTGCTGATTAGAACAAGAATAAAAGAACAGGGTAATAGCAGCTTTCCTCTAGTTTTATCCCTTAAGTCATTATACAGAGATCTGGTGGCCTAGTGGACAAGATTTGTGCTGCCAAGCCAACGGCAGACGGTTCTAATCTGCCAACTGTTCTAGAAGAGAAAAAGAAACTCTCTCCTCCCACTGATAGCCTCTGGAAATCTCCCGAAGGCCAATTTTGACTCAACAATGAGCTGTTTTTGTTGTTACTGTTGTTAAGTGATCCCAATTCCTTTTCTACACCAAAGAGAAGGTTTTTAAAAAAAAATTTTTTTTTTAATTATTATTTTTGTGTGAGTGTACCGTCAAATCAGATCTGACTGGTACAGGAGGAGATTGTCCCTCCTTCCCCAGCAGAGCATCTGGTGGATTTGAACCGTGCGCCTCTGGGATTATAGTTGCAGTTTCTTGCCACTAGGCCACCAGAGCTCCCCTAAAGAGAAGTTTTTAAAGGTACTGTTAGTATGTATTTCATTAGTGACAGCAGATCACCTGGTTCTGCCCATAAAAGTGAACTAGCTTTTATATTGTGTCTAAATGACCCACTGTGGGCAAAAAACAAGAAAAAAAAATTTACAGATAGTACAGTTTCTTACGGGTTTGGACGATTTACTCTAAAGTGCCCAATAGCAATACTTTTTTTAAAAAATAAACATCTTGCATTCTGGTGGAATATTTGTTAGAGTTGAACCAATTTCACTATAATCTTGAGATGGAATTTCTCAGTTTACTTTTGGGTTCACTCTTTGTGTTGCACAGTCCTGTGGGTGTTTACAGTCAGGCGAGCTTTTTTTTGATGACAGTATGCACAACAAGACATAGATCCATTCACAGTGTCTGCGTGGATGGTTCAATGACTCTGGGTACATACTTGATACTGGGTTACCATCCTCATTCTCTCTACTTCTCTTGTTTTATTACTGTTTAACTCTGTGCCCCCTCAAACTCTCATCTGTATCTGTATGTGTTCAGGTGCACAACAGCTAACGCAATAGCAGTTCCAAGTATTCTCAATGACCAGTGTAATGGACAGGTAATTTGCAACAGAGGTTTGTACCAGTATTTGATATGAAGTGCCATCTAGTGGTATATAGCAATTATTTCAATTCAAATGCTCGCAATAAATTATGGGGTTGGATTTTGTACAGGCCTCAGAGGGCCCATTCTAGGCTGCCTTCTCAGCCCTGGTTAATGTGACAGAATTGTCCTTTGTCTGAACATACTTGTAAGTATCATGATTTCGGTATGAGTTGAACACAAAATGTAAACATTGCAAAACACATTCAAAAGAGAATATCGAAAATATGGCAATTTGTAAGTATTCAAAGGAATCCTCAATACATTGTATTAATATTTTTATGAATTAACTTACTAGAGGAAAGCTAATACAAATTGTATGAAAGAAGCATGACCAATTTTGGATCTCTGGTGGAAATGGAAATTGTTTTGCTTCAAGAACATGCTAATGCATATTCGTGTCCTACAACAAAAATACTGATGTTCACAACTAGCCCCCCGCTTGCTATTTCCTTCCTACCCAGCCTCCCTCTGTATGTCTGCGTGTGGCTGGTGCAGTCCGTCTTTTAATAGTGGTGCAGTTACCTAAACTTGACGATTGTAGTTCTTTTCTGTTTTAAGACATGACTGTTCATTATTAAGTGTTACAAGTTTCTCCTCTATAGATTTAAGGATCCAGGCTTTGCTGATTTTCTGGGCATGGATATATGCTGTGAATTTAGAGATTTTCAAACAATCTTTCTTGGCTTTGTTCATTTTCTGTCTTACCTTTTCTTAAGCCTTAGTTTTCTGACTGTTCATTATATTTTCTGATGGCCTAAGAAAAGTATTTATTGAAAAGGGAAAAGAATTTGCTGTTGGCATATGAAGCAATTCCTAACCCATTTCCAGAAGCCATCAAGTTAGCGAAAGCTGAAGAGTACCTGTGCTTGAATTCTTAATTGTATCTAATTAATAGGGAGCTCTGGTGGCCTAATGATAAGGAATTACACTGCCAACCCAGAGGCACTCACTTCAAATCCACCAACTGCTCCTTGGGTAAAAGGTGAGCAGTCTCCTCCTGTGTGGCTTACTGTCTCTGTTCTCACTGGAGTGTCAGGTATGAGCCATTTCTGACTTGACAGTATAAACCAACAGCATCTAGCATACACTCAGCGACATGTGCCCAATCTGATAAAAGTATTTCTGGAGAAGATCAAAAGTAATGATGGTTTTGACTATAAGTCATGTCATTATCACACCTTTTCTACACGCCACCAATGACTCCACTCATTCAGATAAAAACCCAAATGCATAATTGTTTTTTTAGCTCTTCACATTTTCTCACTTACTATGTTTTGACATGTTTATATCAACTTGGAATTGCTGTGATGCTGAACACTGTTTCATAGTCTTGTCAAATACCATAATGGTTATCCATTATATACAGTGTTTGAATGAGCTTCCAGATTGATTCATACTGGGAATCAGGAGTGGCACCTACTTCCTAAACAAGATGCCTCTGAAAACTCTGCAAACTCTATAAATTTACAAAAATTATGTTAATTCTAGAACAGAGTTCAGGTCTTTTGTGCAAAGCTTACTCTGAGTCGTATTCAACTCAACACACTTCACCACTGCTAAATGAGATGACTGCTGTTATATCTAGAGGAACATTCTTCCACTTTGCACATCACTTTTTGTCAATGTGCTATATGAATTAACCTGGGTTTGCTGTGATGCTGAACCTTGTGCCATTGGGGTATCAAATACCATAATGATTTCCCATCGTGGACAGTGTTTGGTAGAGCTTGGAATTGTAAGACGGGTTTGGAAGCAGGAGTGGCATCCACTTCCTAAACCACATGCCTCTGGAAACTCTATGAACTTGGAGAAACGACAATAGTTATGGAAAGGCATTAAGTCTTTTGTTCATAGAGTCACTATGAATTATGTTCAACTTGACAGCAATCAACAACAGCCTATTATTTATGTTCTGTCTCTAAAACTGTACTGTATCATAAATCAGATATTTTTGCTATGATTTAAGGCATAAAATTACAGAATTAAGATTTCGTTCATGTTTAATACTGTCAGACGAGTATCCATGGGCTTAAGGCTGGTATTACTTTTCTCATTAGTATAACTGGGCATTTGCAACCAAAACATTCTAATTACTGTTTTGCTTATGCCAAGGAGAACTACTGGTTTTCCTGTAGGATACAGGTCATTTCTTCACTGCTGATTTCCATATTTAATATTTAATACTGTGATTTTATCAGAATTGAGTAGCCATGTCAGAATCAGCAGCAGCTATTTAGTCGTTTTGTTTTTATTTTGTGGGAGAAAAAAAAGTTCCTGTTATGACTCCAAAGTTTTCTCCAGGGGCCAAACCAAAACTATTGAGCAAGACACATTCTTTCATTTCATTCAAGGCAGGATTCTCTGTTCTGGTTGTGAAAAGTTATAATGTTAACAAAAGCATACATGATGGAGAATTATAAGGTCCAAGTTTAAGAGGGGAAATGGAAAAGTATGTTGGAGCCAAACAGTTTTGTTCACTTCAGGCCTAGTGTGATGAGTTGCCTTAAAACCTTCTTTTAATGCTTCCTCACAAGGTAAAGCTGAAGTTTGGGACCTTGCTCCATATCTGAGGGGAATTGGGTAATGAAGTCTTGAAAGTGTCTGATTGTTTGGCAGTTTTAATTGTGGGGTAATGTCAAAATAAGCAGGGATTACAAAAGCACAATTTTAAACAAAGAAAGTAAAAGCACTCGTAGTAATACTTCCAACTCAGGGATCCTAATATATAGGATCTGTAGGGTATAACTAAGAAAAGCTAGGCATATTGGATGGGCTTCTGGTCTGTTAAATCACCATAATTCACTTGTATCTATTAACTGTATTTGAAAAGTGAGGTAATATTAATTGAAAGCATACACTTTTAAGTATGTCTGTGAAACTGTGAAATGACTGTGATTTGGAGAGTTCAAACATGGGTCGCATTCTCTTCTGAGTGACTTCTGGCTGCACTCCCCGAGTTGCTGACTTCCTGCCACACCGTCCATTCCAGCCCCTCTGTCCCCTACTCCCTGCTGGCTCCAGTCAGCTTCTCTTTTCACGTGAACTCCCAGGCAGTGTTAGGTCAGCCTTGGTAAACAAGGCCTGTCTCTGATAAGGGATCACAGCCATCTGGGTAATAAAATGCCCCACTGAGACATCCTGGCTAAATGAAAGCAGCTTTCCTCTTAGATTTCTGGTAAAACCCAGGAACAGGTACAGGAACACAAATGACAAGCCAGCTAGAGTCCCACTTGAGAGGGAGAAAGGATGAGAAGGGATGACATTTTAATGGCTTCCCAGGCTATTGACACATCTTTTCCTTTGTGAAATGAGTTAAGAAAAACAGAAATCAGTATGTTTTTTTTTCTAATCCCCCTGTAATGTTTTCCAAAGTAGAAGATTAAGTCTTCTTTGTAATTTGTGCTTCAGCAACATACCTCAAATATGGTTGTGGTTAGTTACCTTTGATTCAGGCTCAGCTCATGAGCACCCCATATCCGGTAGAATAAAAAAAATTGCTTGGTCTGTTGCTTCACAGTCTCTGTGTCCATTGTTGAGGCCACTGTGTGTTTTAAGTACCTTCCAATTTAGGGGATTCATCTCACAGCAGTATTATCACATAGTTGGCTTTCAGTAAGTACTGAGTGAAGAAATGAATGCACAAATGAGTTAATATGCAGTGAATAAGGATGGCAGAAGAAGAATTGGTTGTGGTACTAGGGAAGAGGCCTGAATATCCCATGGACTTTCAAAAGAACAAATTAATATGTCTTGGAGAAAGTGCAACTAAAGTGCTTCTTAGAGGCGAAGATGGTGAAACTTGGTCTCACAT